ATTGGCTCCACTGGCAGAGCCATCCTGTCCCTGGGGCTGAAGAGGCCGGAAAGCAAACACAAGAATGAAGCTTTCAAAAATACACAGGCTAAAAAAAAAAAAAAAATCCCAGGCAACCTAAGATGGAGAAACACAGCAGTTCTCCTGCTGGTGGATTAAAATGAGTGGGTATGGGCCTGGAGCAGGAGAGAGCTGGCGCGAGCAGAAGGGATGAGAATGGAAACTTTAACAGATGTAGGAAAGAGACGGGTTTCTCCTTAGTGACTGTCGATAATATGTGCTAGCCTGCAAGTAAAGTGCCAGATTTTGCAAGGGAAGAGACTCTGCAATGGAAAAGGAGCATGCTTGTGGCTCGAACCCTGTTTTTCTGTTACCTTGTGTTCGATGTCCCTCTGCATCAGCCTCTGGGGGATTGTTTTGGGGGGACAGAGCTGCGGTGGGAGCTATAACAAGCCAGTGGCACAGACATGCTCCCTGGAGCACAGCCTGCATTCATCCCAGCTGCTAAATTTAGATCTCTTCCAGCAAAAGAGCATGTGCAAAGAGGCACAGGGATGAGATATAACTGTCGTATGAGCTGGAGGAAAAAAAAAAAAAAAACAAAACCTGAGAGGGTTGATTTGCCCATTATCATAACTATCATCAGAGGAGACCAAAATTCTTGAGGATAAACACAGTGAAGGAAAAATACATATTATTGCAAGGTTTATTTCCCTTTGTCAGCATCGTGATCTTGTCCGAGGCAGAGCCTGGCAGTGTCGCATCAGGGTTAAACTGAAGTCCCTTTGTCTGAAGAGTTTTGACTTGAGGACAGGGCCATTTCTTGGGGCAAAAATAGTCATCTTTATGAAAATAATCATTCTTGCAGAAATCACGGCTGTCTGCAATGCAAAGTTCTTAAGGGGGAACAATGCTGAATACCTGGAGAGGTGCAGGGGGAGCAAAAGAGACACGATACGGGTAAGAAATCCCCACGAACAGCACGGGGGGAGGAACAGGATTTGTTGCTGAAGGCTGTTGTCTGCATGCTCCACACCGTCGTCCCCCTCGCTCCCCCCTTGGGTATGCCCTTGTACACAGACATCTGACACTGGCTGTGTGCTCCACCGCAGTCAGAGACATCCTCTGCTCACAGATTTTTACAGGCGATGCTGGGGAGCACAGAAGCCCTCTGAGCCTGCCAGGCTGCCTTAACTTGCAAGGACTTCTGTGTAACTCCCAAAATGTGCATTTCCTAAATGCACCAAGGCTCCCTGGGGAATCTCTCCCTGCTCTGGATTACAACCAACTGTTTGCGGAAGGGCAGAGGAGGAGAGCAGGGCTGCACTGCCTTCCCAGCAGGCGTACCAGAAAAGCTGCTGACGAGTCCCACCCTGCTCCAGGGCGGGGACATTGCCATCCAGGGCGAGCCCAGCAAAGCTCTTCCCATCCCTGCCAAGACACCCACTGGGGACAGCAGGTGAGTGCCAAACCAACTCAGGGGGATCCCCTTTGGCATGGGGAAGGGGTCGTGTGGCTGGAAGATGCCTGGGAAGATGCCAAGCACTGTCTCTGCTTGCCAGACCGCAGCGGCTGGTAGTGCAGCTGTGCAGGAGTGCGATGGCCCTCGGCTGGGTGGGTGCCCCATCGGGGCCATGATGCCAAGGCACTGGGGGTGTTGGGGCAGCCCTGGGGCGAGGAAGGACACAGAGGAAGGTTGTGGGAAGGAGGAAGATGGCTGACCCTTCCCAAGCACAGGGAGTGTATGTTTTGCTTCCTATTTCTACTGTGCCCCGTGGCCAAGCTGGCACGTCCTCCCCGTGGGATGCTGGAGTGTGGGGGGCTTAGGGGGTGCCTTTAGGTGGGTGCATGGGCTGAAGTGAGGAGTACGAGGCTCTGCTAACTCAGTATTATGTTTTTATTCCTTTTGAGGGCAGTGGCCAGGAAAAGGTCATCGTGTGGGAGGTGCTGGGATATTTCAGCTGGCTCTGGGCTCGCCAGCCTAAGGGAGATCGTGTCCTGAGTGGCAAATTGGGCTGGGATCAGGGTCAGTCCCCCTGGTCCTGTCCTGCGTGGCAAATTGGGCTGGGATCAGGGTCAGTCCCCCTGGTCCTGTCCTGAGCTGTAAATTGGGCTGGGATCAGGGTTAGCCAACCTGGTCCTGTCCTGAGCTGCAAATGGGTCTGGGATTGGGGTCAGCCACCCTGGTCCTGTCCTGAGCTGTAAATTGGGCTGGGATCAGGGTCAGCCACCCTAGTCCTGTCCTGAGCTGCAAACTGGGCTGGGATTGGGGTCAGTGGTCCTGGTTTGAGTCCCAGACCAACACGGGGGCGTGCTGGCTCCCCACAGCCCAGCCAGCTGTGGAGGAAGCAGCCTGTATCCAGCACTCTGGAAACAGCTGGCGGTGGCAGAGCCATGGAAAATCTGATCCGGCACCAGGTGTGGGTTTGTGTTGAGTAAACGTGCACCGAATGAAAGAACTCGTCAAACAAGTCCAGTGTTTGTCTTGCGAGGGGATGGAGCACAAAGTGGTCTTTTCCACTCCAGATCCTAGGTGCAGGACTGGCAACTGTCTATGAGCTCAAACTTGGGGAAAAAAAAAGCTGATTTTTTATCCTGTTAAGCTTTTGGGAACTTTGCTTGCTGGGAGCTGCGTATGCTCTGTGCACAGTCAGGAAAACTTGATTCAGAGCGAGCCTAGATTAGAACTGGCCAGCACATGCGGTAGTTTCACCTGTTTTCTGATAAATGAAGTTTATTCTGGATTCAGCTTTTAGAGAACATTGATGTGGACTTATAACTGCCTGATTAGCTAATAAACCCTGACAGGAAATTGTCATCTGTGGGAAAAAAATATGAATAATGGGAGGGATGCCTCGTACACCTGTACTCTGTCATCTGGCCACAGTGTTTTCAGCCTGCTCTAAGCCAGGTTTACTGTGTCAGCTAGGTCAAGCCTTTATTCTGGGATGAAACAAATAGCATCAGGATGGGGATTAGCCAGAGCACCTCAGCACTTGCTCGCTGACCCTTTGTGTGCACAGTTTAATTCTTCAAAACACGGAGGTAAGCATTGCTCCCATCCTGAAGCTGTTTTTCCCCGTTTGAGCTGCAGGCCAGGAATTGTGTGAAGCTGCAGAGCACTAGTAAGTCTGAGCAATTCCTGTCTCTACTCTCCTAGCTGGCTAGGACAGTTCAGCTAATCCCCAGCCTGAGCAGTTCCTGGAGTCACCTGTGAAAGGGAGCAGGAGCATTACAGGGCAGGGACCATTCCTGGAGAACCTGGCGGAACCGCCGAGAGCTTCTACCTGGAACTCCACTGGCTCATTTTGTGTGGCACCACACACAGAAATACATTGGGAACAAAATGCAGATTGCACAATGGGGTTAGCACCGCTGCCTTTTGCAGCTGTTTACTCTTTATTTTCCCAGGGACTTTTAAGGTGGATGAAGAAATCGGAATCTTACCGCCAATATTCGATGTGAGATTTCTGCTGTAACGTGATACTGCAGGAGCATTTGCCCTGAATCCAGTACATGCCTTCTTTCCTCATATTTTGGGTTTTTTCTGCCAGCTCATTTGCACTTAGAATTTTTTCAGCCTCCCACCCCCTTTTCCTTGTTTATTGACCTTTCTTTTGCCATCTAATTGACTTGGTAAATGAGCCTGTCTGATATTCCTGCTTCTGTGTACAAACCAACTGAACACTAGAACTGCATCAGAAAAACATCTGTGAAATTCAAAGCCATTATTTAGTGTCTTGCTAAAGCAAATAAAGTTGGCTTTGTATTTCTGTAAAAGACTGAGAAGAGCAAAGATGACTCTTCTGAGGTCCAGGTATAATTTGACCACTGAAATCTATAATCAAATGAAAGCAAACTCAACATTAATAATTTTCCATATTTTCCTGTGGTTGCCCAGGGTGTCATAACATACAGATGACCCCGAGAGCACTCGGGAGTGCCTGTGTGTGACACATCTAAGGAAATGTCCCACTGGGAGCTGACGTGCCTGAACAGCACCCTCCAAGGAGATTTGGGATTTATAAGAGTCATGTGGAGCATGAGCCAAGACACTCCTGTTCTTGCCCAACTGTCTGGGCTCATTGATAGCCGCTGTTAAGCAGGATTAAGGAGAGATGTTGTCAGCTGCTGGCATCACGGCTTCTGCGTAAGGGCTTTAATGAGAGAACCTCAGCTCCTGCTGTGTTAATTGAGTTGCAGGGAAGTGAACCTTGTCCTAGAACTTGACATCCTGTCAACTGAGCAGGGAGATGGGTGTGTTCATGTGTGTTCATGTGCTATGCATAAAAAGAAAATTATGAGCAGAAAAAATAACCCCGGGAAGATGACAAGTAAGCTTTTGTCTTTTTTGAGGGCTTTAACAATCAGTTAAAACTGCAGTCCTAGCAGGAATTACACACTGCACCAAACTGAGGAGATGTTGAATACAGCAGATGTTAAGTAAGAGGAAAAATAATTCTCCTGTCCGAGTGATGTTATGTTTTCCGTGCTCATAGACACCTTGATGTTGTCAGGGAGGATGTGTGGGGGCCGTTAGGACTGTGCAGACACCCTCACCCGAACTCACTCCCACCTGGCAAGGTCAAAGCCAGCTGTTTTGAAGGTCATGGGAATCAAGTCTACTTTCTTTACTCCCAGGGCAACATCGTCTGCTTCTTGGTCTCAGCTAGGCTGTCACACCAGCAATAGAAAGAAATTTCTTCAATTACTGGTGCTAATCATCTGCTTGTGCACCACGTCCCTCTTTCACCCAGGGTGAACGCCCTGGCCCTGTGCTGTTGCAAGCCAGCCTTTGTTTGTTCGGTACAAAGGAGGACTGGAAACTCAGGGATGCTGCTATGAGCTGTTCAAGTATTGCTTTTAATCCTCAGAGAAATTAGACGGTTACTTAATCAGCCCCATTGACTGGGAAGGGTAGCTATATTCTATTAATTATTTGCTAGAAAACTAACACTTCCTCCATTTTTTTATTACAGTTGTCTAACTGCCTGGGGACTCAATAACAGATTGACCAAATACGAGCGCGATGGTGAGTGTGCGTGTTCTCTGTACCATGCTGTGCCAAGCGTTTGATCAGATAAAGGTGGGCAGTGTAGCTCAGATAAGGACCCAGCAGGAAGAACATTCTCACTGTCGTTCCCTTTATGGGGGGTGAGTTTATCACTTTTCTCTGCTTCCTTATACTAGAGAATGACCCACACAATATGGACTTCCCCATGCTGGGAGTTAATGGAAAATCCAATCAGATATTGGTTCAACAAACCTTAATTTCTCCAGATAAACTCCTGGGCATATTATTCTCTCCAGGTTCAACCTGCAGTGCAGCCATCTGTAGGGCAGTTATCCCCGTGCCGGTTTCTGAAAGCCGAACCCACCCGAATGTTAAGCAGTGTTTTGATGATGATTATTACGGGAACATGGAGAATTTTGTAAGCGACAGTGTAGTGCCACAGAAACGGCACTGGCCAGGAGGCAGGACAAACCCGTTTGTGAATCACTGTTTTGAGTCCAACACTGTGCTTCCTGCAGCGTTATTTTACAGAATGATGGTCCTTGGCTGCTCTTGGAGAAGTCAGGAATAGGGTTTTGATGGGAACAGCTTCTTCTGTGGTTTACAGGGAAAACTGCTGGCAAGAAGCCCCAGATGACAGAAATGTCATGCTGATTGCTGTTATTTAATTGGAAACCAGCTAGCCCATGAGCAGCTAGATTAAGATATTTCCTCCTTTTAGTGTGTCCCTGTGGCTTATTTCTGATGCGTCTGGGAAGTCTCTCTAGAACAAACTGTTTCTCTGTAGGGTCGGATGGAAGCCTGGTATAAAATCCCTCATGTTTGGTGGGTGGACTTTACTCGCTGTCACTGTGTTTGCATCTTTTGAATGCATTTGTTTTTAATTCAACTCTATGTATCACTTTGAGTCTGCCTTTCATAACTCCTCTCCTGTGGGTTTAGGCAACCATCAAGGGGGTCTCGAGCTTCAGCGCTGAGCAAGAAGCACACGCACTAAGGAAGGCTATGAAGGGACTGGGTAAGTTTGTCTCCCTCCACTGTTAAACCCTCTTTTTTCCCCTCAAGCATTGGGAATGTTTTGTCTGTGGTTTGTTAGAGGCAAAGTCAGTTTGCACTGTCCCACTGCCCTGTGAAGGCACTGAAAGGAATCAAGCGACTTGATCAGGCTGAGATTTGAACCCAACTGGAAATCCAAGTCTTGGCTACAAAAACATCCTTGTCTTGTCCCTCAGAAAATGCTGAGAACCAGGTTGTGTAAGGCACAGAAAAATGGCTAATGGCACACTCTGGACAAGACCAGAGCATGCGTCTGGTTCGTGTGCAATTAGCTTGACTGATTTCCGTTGGTTTCTTCCAGGCACAGATGAAGATGCCATCATTGAGAGCTTGACCAAACTAAACGTTTCCCAACGTCAGCAAGTTCTGATCACCTATAAAAGCAGCATTGGCAGGGTAGGTCATCTTCAGAGATCAGTGACTGGGGCTTTAACTGGGAGATGTAGCCATATTTTGGGTTATAACCCTTGGGTGAAATGTGAACGATATCCTAGTCTCCATGACAGTAGGGTTAGCACAAGCTTTCCCTGGCCAAGTTTATTTTGGTCTGGTTCCCTTCAGAGCAAGTGTTCATCCACGAAGGGTTGGAGCATGAAGTAAAGTGGTGAAAGAGTTCTTTCTGTTCTTGGAAGCTGTGTCTTCTCCCAACTCCTTTCTCCTCTCTCTGTCTTCTAGGATTTGATTGATGACTTGAAGTCTGAGCTGAGTGGGAATTTTGAAAAGGTGATCATCGCTATGATGACTCCTACCACCATGTACGACGTGCATGAACTGAGGAGGGCTATGAAGGTTTGGAAATGTTTCTTTTATGTTGCTTAAGTTCTGGTCAACTTAGTATGATAAGGCATAATTATACATTTATTATTAATTTAGTATTATTAACTTCTATATAATTAAACCAAACAAACTAGTTGCACATCAAAACAGTTGTCATTATAATCTTGGATCTTGTCTTTGCAATTCCCTAGGGTGCAGGAACCGATGAAGGTTGCCTGATAGAAATCCTGGCTTCTCGCACAAACGAAGAGATTCGGCGCATTAATGAAAACTACAAACTTCGTATGTAGTGCAAACTGCAAGTCGTTATCATAGTGACTGAAAAATCACTTGAGTGTATGCGTGAACACACGAAGAGGAGCAGAAGGGTCTGTTAACCTTTAAATGTGACGGATCAGCCAATACAACTATTGCCATTTGTCCAGAGAGAACCTCCGAGTTAAAGATGCGTTAGCAGCAGGACTGCCAACAGCCCCAAGGATTAGAATTTCACCCAGAAATTGAATCGGTGTAAATAAAATGGGATGGGGTGGTCATGTCTGTCAGATGGATGTCTGTCCATGTGTGGATCTAGTGCCAGTTTTATACTGGCTGTGCTGCTTAATTTTGCTGTGTAGCAGTAAATATGATGGCTGGACTGCTATGGCGATAGTCAAGAAGGCAAATGGCATCCTGGCTAGTATCAGAAATCGTGTGGCCAGCAGGACTGGGGGCCTGATTTTCCCCCTGTGCTCGGCACTGCTGAGGCCACACCTTGAATCCTGGGGTCAGTTTTGGGCCCCTCCCCACAAGAAGGACATTGAGGTGCTGCAGCGTGTCCAGAGAAGGGCAACGGAGCTGGGGAAGGGTCTGAAGCACGGGGCTGATGAGGAGTGGCTGAGGGAGCTGGGGGGGTTCAGTCTGGAGAAGAGGAGGCTGAGGGAAGACCTCATCCCTCTCTACAACTACCTTTCAGGGTGTAAGAGGGTGTAGCGAGGCGGGTGTTGGTCTCTTTTCCCAAGTAACAAGGGACAGGACAAGAGGAAACAGCCTCAAGTTGCATCAGGGGAGGTTTAGATTGGATATAAGGAAAAATGTCTTCACTGAAAGGGTTGTCGAGCGCTGGGACAGGCTGGGCGGGGGGGGGGGGGGGGGCCCCTCCCCGGGGGGGGTAAGGCTTCTAGACATGATGCTTGGGGATGTGGTTCAGTGGTGGACTGGGCAGTGTTGGGTTAATGGATGGACTCAATGATCTTAAAGGTCTTTTCCAACCTAAACAATTCTGTGGTTCTAGGATGTTCAGAGCCCTGAGCACAGTTATATGCTTCCCTAGCTTAGGGCTGGCAAACGTTGTGGACAAACAGTGTCCAGGTGGTGGACCTGTTACTAACAGATGTCCTGTGTGTGCTCTTGCTAGAATACGGCCGCACCCTTGAGGAGGACATTGTCTCTGACACATCTTCCATGTTCCGAAGAGTCCTTGTGTCCCTCGCGACGGTAAGTCCAGGCTGAAGGGAATGGGGGTGAATCTTCTTGGCTTTTATTTCACTTGTCTTGCGTTCCACCTCACCTGCATTTCACACCCGGCTTCTGCTGGGAGAGTCGTCAGACTCTGCGGATGCATTAATGCCATGTGCTCTTTTTAAAATAACCCAGTGAAAGTGGATTGCTGCTCATTTCCAAGGAAGTACAAGTCAAATCTGAGACATATTTTGCTATATTTGTTATCTACTATTCAATTTTAAGGATCCTATTATGCCTCTCCAGTAACTTGTTTCCAATGGGGAATTTGCAGGACTTCCTTCCATTAGTTGCTCCAGTGAAATGAGTTTTTCATCCTTGTGTCTCCGCAGGGAAACAGAGATGAGGGAACATATGTGGATGATGCTCTTGCTCAACAAGATGCTCAGGTGTGTAGCAATTTGCTTCCTCACAAGAACTGTCTGTTCTTGTACGTGTGAATCCCTGCCTTTTCTAGACTTCATTTTCTTCATTCTTTTCTAGACCAGTAAAAATCTCATGTTATGTACGCCTGGTTTTCTCCATTAGCCTTACTTTGTCTGTTCGTAATGTCTTCCAGTGCCTGTATGAAGCCGGGGAGAAGAAGTGGGGAACAGATGAGGTACAATTTATAGCCATCCTCTGTACACGGAACAGATACCACCTCCTAAGAGGTAGGAGCCTCTGCGGTATCTTGGATTTTTTTTCCTTTTTTGAGGATGATACTTTTGTAGGAGCTTTGTACTTGTTCATTAACTGATTGTGAACCCTTCCTGAGACAGCAGGTACCCCAGAGCCTAGTCACATTCAATTCTTTAAGACCATTTTATTCCCTCCTGAGACAAAAAGGGACTTGAGAAAAACATCAGTACAACCTCCTCCAGCCTATAAATTGGAGATAATGACGTGTGACTCCCATTGGGGCAGCGCTAAGCATTTAAACTGCCATCATTAACTAGCAGTTCTTGAAAAGGCTAGCAGCAGTGGCAGGCCAATTAGCAAGACAGTTGATAATTAAAATGAATTCTTTCTGTGGGACAGCCCTGATTTAGCTTATAATGTCACAATAATGGTAAGATGTTCATACAGAGCATGAAGAGCTTGATCTTGCAAAGTGGTCCTTGGTGGTTTTTTAGCATCTCACTCGCTTTTTTTTTTTTATCACCAACTCTTCCTCCTAGTTTTTGATGCATACAGAAGGATTGCTAATAAGGACATAACGGACAGCATTAAATCGGAGATGTCAGGAGACCTCGAAGATGCGTTGTTAGCTGTGGGTGAGTTCCCTGCTTTTAAATTCTAACTACAAAGTAATTAAATAATTAGAGATATTGTCTCTTGCCCTGACTGGCTGTTTGCATGGCTTCAGGAGGCAGATACTGTTTGTCTTTTTTGCAAGCCACGGTGTTTTAATCTTTGTAGATCAAATGGGGTGAGAAAGCTCTCTGCTTTATGATATTGTTTGCTTTCCCAAGTGATGCTTTGGTAGCTGACATTAGCTTCAGGAAGCATTAAAGCCCCAAAGAAAATATTCCGGTGCACCAGGCATGGACACATGAATTTACAGCAGCTCACTGACTACAGATGTCTGCATCGCACTTGCTGTTTGTTATCCCTGAATTGCATCTTTCTGGAATAAACCCCTTCACTGAGAAAGTGCTGTAAGTGCTCCTTCAGTTTTTATTGCCCTTAATTCTCTTCTTCTTGTCTCCCTTGCAGTAAAGTGCGTGCGAAATAAACCTGCGTATTTTGCTGAAAGATTGTATAAATCCATGAAGGTAAAGAGCTTTTGGTGTCAGATCACCATTTTCCCCCCCATTCCTTGCTTTTCCATGCTCGAGTCATTAGCATGACAGCAATCATTAGATGAAGAGAAATTTTGGTGTTAACTGGAGGGAAAAAAAAAAAAAAAAAGTCTGAGCTTTTATATGGACCTCTTCTCCCTCAGGAAGCTCAGAGCAATTATTCTTGCCCAGCAGCAAACTGCTAGTGGATCCCTTCACTAATGCAAACACGCTCTGAGGAGGAACAGATCCCACAGGAGACCAAGCGATAAAACCTTTGTGTCCGTCGCTGATTTATCCAAAAGGCTTTGTCGCTGTACACGGCTGGTTTATTTCTTTAGGGCTTGGGAACAGATGACAGCACACTGATCCGAGTGATGGTGTCCCGCTCTGAAATCGATATGCTGGATATCAGAAGGGAATTCCTGACCATGTATGGGAAATCGCTCCACTCCTTCATTAAGGTGAGCTTGTCGGTGTCAGAAACAAAGAGCTGGATTTGCTAAGCAGCTTCAAGGCGATAGGTCCCCGCTTGACAGCTACTGGGTATTTTAGAGGAGCTGACATTAAGGAGACCTGTATGTCCTGAAAATGTTCCTGAATGTTCTTAAATTGTCAAAGAGGTACAAACCCTACAACAAATTGTATGTGCTGGGAAGAATCCAGCCTTGTATGGAGCTGGAAAACTAATTGCATTCCTTTTTTCTTTTTTTCTCTAGGGAGACTGCTCAGGAGACTATAGGAAAGTTCTGCTCAGGCTCTGCGGTGGGGAGGATTAAAGGATGCCCGGTGTATTGCCTGGGTGATGGGAAGCAGTTGATCATAAGGATTTCTTTCTTTTTAATTTTTATTTTAATTTTTCCAAAGTATCTTATTAATTGCTCTGAGTGTTGACGTAGGTTTGTTAATGCTCTGGTTAGATAACGGCCATTCCGGTTGACCCTTTTGATACGCTTTTATGCCTGGAACACCCATTTGCCTACTAATCGGGCTATAAAGCCCATCTTAAACAGAATGCTGCAACCAAATATATAAAAGCTAAATTGTTTCCTGACAAGCTGTTCCTTTGCTGTTGCATTCACCAGCAAAACTTAGCAACTGAAGCAAACTTGGATGAGAGTGTGAGCAGCTGCACAGGGAAAAATTAACCTCGTCAGTACGTGGAGAGTGCAGAATGCAGGCTTGCTTCAGTTTCTGCAGGATAACTAAAACCCAAATAAATCAATCCTCTGAAAAATAAGCACGTTTAGATCTTAACTTGCCCTCTGTTAGTGTGGAGCATTGACAGCCTTGCTGCACTTTATGTATATGTTGCCTATAGATCTGTAGGTAGGGAAGATGTCACTGGTGACATCAGAAAAAACTGGTTCCCGGACAGCCCTGTGCTCTTGGTCTGTCTTCCTTGACTCGTGAGAGAATAAATCATCAGGGTTATATTCCAAAGCCTTCCTCTGGATAAAGCGATGTCATTAGAATGGTGCCTTTTAAGGAGCGACCTGCAGAAACGCATCTCATCAGCCCTACCTGATGCCTTAGACGGGGATGCCTCGTACGGGGCAGCTCCCCAAACCTCCCCAGCGCTGGCGGGCTGGAGCCCTGGGTAAGCCAAGCGCTGTTTTCGCTACAGAAAATGTGGTTCTTGTTTGGCTTAGCAATTTGATTTTTTTTTTTTTTTTTAGCTGTTGGTATATAATCCTGTTCTGTACACATCAGACTGAGGTTAGAATTTGAAGGCAGAGATACCGATAAGTCCTACACCCAATTCTGTCACTCATTTCCTTCTAAATTAGGCCACTCTTGGCTTGAATAGGAGATACTTCTGTGGCCTTAAATCTAATAATTTTCTTTCTTGCTCTCTGTTCTGTAATTGGAGACACATTCCTTAGTTTTGGTGGCAGAGGAGGCAAAGCTTTTTCCAGTTCTGCTGAAGCCTTCTGCTCAGTGAGAGAAACATTGTCTTACCCAGTACAACAGGCTGGCACGTGTGCTCAGGCTTCGTTTTGTGTTTAATGCTTTGTGTTGCTGACTTTTTAAAAATGAATAAACAATTTGTTTCTGTACCTTCTGCCACGATTGCGTGTTCTGGGAGAGCTAATGGGAAATAATTCTGTCCTTGTTTTTTCAACAACAACTGTGCTCCACAGGTGCTTTTCTCCTAAAAGTGGATCTTCACGCACCAGCTAAGCGGGGAGAGGCTGCAGGGAGATTCCTTCAGCTCTTCAGCCTCAGAGCGGGCTGCCCAGCGCCCTGTCCAGCTGCCTGGAACACCGCGACGGGGGCACACCACAGAATCACAGAATGGTTTGGGGGCAAAGGGACCTTAAAGCCCACCCAGTCCCACCCCCTGCTATGGGCAGGGACCCCTCCCACCAGCCCAGGTTGCCCCAAAGCCTCATCCAGCCTGGCCTTGAACCCCTCCAGGGATGGGGCATCTCTCCTGGAGCGCCCTTGCAGCACTGGAAGGACTCCCTGAGACTTTCTGTTCTCCAGGCTGAACACCCCCAACTCTGTCCTCGCACGGGAGCTGCTCCAGCCTCAGACCATCTCCAGCAGCTCTGTGTCTGTCCTGTGCTGAGGACCCCGGAGCTGGATGCAGCCCTGCAGGAGGGACTCACAAGAGGGGGAGAAGGGAGAATCCCCTCCCTCCACGCTGCTGGTGATGCAGCCCAGCATCAGGTTTGTTTTCTAGGGTACAAGTGCACGTTGATGGGTCACGTTCAACTTTTCAGCAGATGCCTCCTGCTCATTAGAAGCAGGGAAAAATCCCCCGTCCGTGGGGGCGATCCCCAGTGTGGGGGCAGATTTGGGGGTGCACTCCTGCAGCTACATTGCTGTGGCTGCTCCCTCTTGCAGCCCAATAACCCCACAGTCCATCCCCGGTCACGTCAGAGCTGTGATGACGATGGCGTTGCGTCATTGCTGTTCCCTGCAGCACCGCAGCGAGCC